AAGCACTAGCATGACTTACAAGACATTGAGTGACTCGCGATAGAAAAGTTGCCAACCTATATAGAGGGTTGTTAGCAAATGACACCTGCTTTGAAAATTGCGGAATGTTTTGAAACTTACGTTCTCAGATATTGCTATCCGCCGCAGGGACTGTATCAACGATGACATCTATTTATCATCAATCGTCAGTAGGCAGTCAATGAAGACAACTTTTAACTCACTGTACTTGCAGCTTGGGCCATTCGGGATCCAGAAAGGTTCGCTCAATGGGTCCTCTAAGGGATACTGTAGCGGAGGCGGGCCGATATGGGGCATCTTCAGTTAGCATGATTCTAAATGACTGGGAAACAACACTCACTTGCCGTCTGAAGACTCTATTATTGAGAAAGACTAGGCTATTGCGAAATTAAAGGTCAGTTTACTTCATTGCATGATTTGGAGATCAATCCATACCAAAGAGTTGCCGCGGAGACGAATCATGATCGACATTCTTTGATCCAAAATTACAAAGGAATGCTTGCGAACGACTCTTCAGCGGCCGAAGGACCGGGTATTTATAATTATCCAGCCAGGCATTTAGTCTGCGTGAATGAGATCATCATCATCAATTGTGAGTGTTCAAACACAAACTACTCTTAAATTGCAGCCGGTTTAACATTTGGTTGTTCATCTGACACAACATTTGAACACAACATTCGAAGACATCGCATTTTTCCCGGCGACTCGATATATGCAATTCCTTTATCACTGTTGGCACCGTTTAAACAGTGGTGAGCATGCTGCAGGAAAGCATCGATAACCTGTTTCAACATTCACCTCCATGGGCTCGTAAGTTAATGCGACAGTGAGGCGGCAACAGATCATGCCATTTCATTTCACCCACCAATGATGAGCACGATACCCTACCCAATGAACACCTCATCAAAGGCAGGCAAACACCATGCCATATTGCGGCCCTGGATCTCCAGCCAAAGGGCATGTTTCTCAGTACCTAACTTGTATATCGGAGAAAAGAAAGCACACCTACACAATATCAAGTAGATGCAAGCTATAGTATGGCGCGGGACTGATTCACACAGCCCTACCTCACAACAGAGTCCCTTGTATAGTGGGTCAGACATGAGGTCGATTACATTTTCGTAGATCAAATCTCTGCGATCAGCCGCGTCTTTGCAAAGGCATTACCCACATCAATCTCCTGGGAGCAAAGTGGATGCGGGAGGGTGGGTACTACAACAAGGAATTATAAGCCAATCAGTGCTGTCAATGGCTCACATGCGCGCAAGTCGACTATGAAATGATTGGTGGATATTTGGCCATGGCTCCCAGGAGCCCGTGGGTCGTAGATATTGATGCAATCATTGCATACTAATAATAGATCGGAGGTAGAATGAGCCAATCGGTACTATGAATGATTCACATCTGCCACAAAGCCCCCGTAGAAATGATTGGCCCAAATTTGGCTGAGAGCTCCTGGGAGCCTGAGCCTACCATAACCTCCCATAATTGGATAGGGCTGATACAATTATGTCCACAATGTACCCACGTCTTCTCTCCTTTGAACCCGAGATAGAGACGACATTAAGAATTGGCCGTTGAAATTCAGGTGTAGTCTTTGCGGGTATGTTCAAAATACGAGAATTTTTGAGTAGACCAGGTCACAGTATATGGTAAAATCCATGGAAGATTCAACCGGAGTATAAGACACACAGCCGGACCGGGTTTCTTACGGGAACCATACTGGAATTCGTGGTTCAAAAAATGTACTTTATTGTATCAATTACGAATGGAATTGGAATGAGATAGTTCTGGAGTTTCTGCTGACAGTGCCTCATAGCCATCAAATAGAGCATTGTTGACGGCGCAATGAATAGTCCCTTATCATCCACGTTCGGATCACTGGTGCATTTTGGCCCGTTATAGCTCTCCCATTACCTTATTGTACTCATTTTCAGAAATGAGATTCTGTTGCTGACTATCAAGTAGCGATACCTGCTCCTCGATTTGGTAAAATAGATGATAGAAACGTGATCCTGCTTGGTTCCGTCGTGGATATTCAAGGGAAGCTATTCAGAGTTAGTAGGAATATTTTGATTGTACATAACAGACTCACGATAGCGCCTGGAGCGGTAATCTGAGGCGAGGGCCGTGGATGACACGTATCTGTCGGGGTTCCAATGGGTTACGATGGTTGCAGATTCGACTGCACGTTGGATACTTAGACCCTGACTGAGGAATCGCAGGATACCTTATTTCTGCATAAACCAGCCATAATTGGAGGGTCATCTGTGTTTGTGCCCTCAAAATTCAGAATTATCAATGCATCGGCTCAAGCAGAATGACTGGCTGCAAAGCTATAAATACCTGGTCCCTCAAGATCAGAACATTCGTTCTCAAGCATTCCTTTGTCACTCTGGGCCAGAGCATTCCAAGCGCTTCTCGTCTCCGTCGGCTACTCTTTTGGATAGAATGACCCCAAATTGATATGCAGTTGTGATTAAGCTAACCTTTCATATTATCGCACTAGCATGTTTTTCTCAATACTGAAATCTTTGAGGAGAAAGTGAGTGTGGTTGTCCCGTCATCTGGTACCGTGCTGACATGGAAGATATTTCAAATCAGTCCCACCTCCACCACACCGAACGAACCTTGAGCGATCTCAAATTATCGCAGCTGCGAGTATAGTCAGTTATGAAATGCTTCTCAAGCTACCTACTGATGATTAATGATAGCTCGAAGTCATCCCTTATGCAGTCGCTTCGACCCTGCTAGAATGCATCGGGCAGCAATGGCTGATAACGTTAATTTTGTCATCGTGGTAATTTTAAGAGTAGTGATCTTGCGCTAACGACTCCCTGCGTAAGATAGCTGACTTCCGATGACAAGCCGCTCGATGACTTGTCACGGCGTGGTGTGTTGCCTGCTGATTCCCATGGCCGGAGGAGCATTTTGGATCTCACTGCAGGTGTTGTGTAGTTGAGCTTCTATCTTATCCTGTTCTTTGTCCATCAGACAACATTTCTGACGCCTCTTTCTAGTCATAGCACAGAGGCCAAGCTGGCACTCGCCACGACCGAGTCGCAGCTCTCCCAGTCTTTCCTGTCCTACCACCTGTCAACTGTCGCTGCTCTAGAAATCATCCGTATTCAGCCGGCTCTACACGTCTTTTCCCATTGCCGGTTCAAAGTTCCGGCGACGGTAAGGTCGGGCTCCATGCTAAATCGAGTGAGCTATCGCAGCGTTCGGCGGCACCGAAAAGAAACCTAGCATCGACGGCCTTCGAGAAAGAGCCCGATTTTTCCGAGAATAATCTAATGCAATCAGGAAGAATCGAGTTTCTCATCACAGGCTGAAGCCAACTTTGTCAGGCCCCGGTTTGCAGATCAGAAAGCGACAAGCCAGGCCGCAGCACTGGATCTAGCCCAAAATCCCTCGCCGCGAGAGAGAAGTCGTTTCTAGGTTAGTTCCAAGTTTGCCCAAGACAAAATACCATGACACTCTCCTACATATTTTCTTTGTCCTGACACAGTTGAAAATTTACCTATCACACGAACAGCAAAAACGATGCAGCTATGTATTGGCAAATATCGCCAGCATTCATTTCCAGCGGCACGGAGTGATCCCGGACCCTCGTGCACGTATAATCGAGCGAAGCCCGCTACATCTCCGGTTGGCCTTTGCTGATACCAGACTGAACTTACGGCAAGTCTCTGCCACCTTCAGTCACCAGAAATCATGCTCACACGGAGAGGCAGTGAAATACAGCCCCTGGCTTGGCCGTTCCCACGAGTCCGGTCGGGCTGCTCGCCTGGTAGCATGAGATTTTATCTAAACCACGAGCCCGGTGAGTTGCGAGCGATCACCTTGCGCTAGCTGCCGATAATTGGTGCTAGATCGAATGCTCCCTCCTCGATGTCATCATCGAACGCCACGAACTCATCAGTAGAGGCAGCCCCGTAAAGTACGGCTAGTCGATTGCCGCGATATCAAAATTGCTCGACTACTACTCGAAAGATGCCAGGTCGGTTTGTGATAACTCGTGGATAAGACGTAGGTATTTAATTCACAAATATCCGTCATATTTGTATTAATGTGAAAATGCCACGTGTGCCCGTCGCGAGACGCTATAACGCGTCAGTGCACGGTCTCGTCGCCTGTGGCACACCTCTGAGTACCGACAGATGCTACCTTGATCCAGCATGCTGAAGCGACTATCAAATGTGGTTTCATTGTCGTCACGAAGTAGCCAAGAGGTAAAAACAACCGTAGAAACTACGAAATCACACGGGAAATCAAGCAGGTTTTGATATGTCTTTCTGATGAAGGGTGATCTGAATGTATCCTGCAGGAATCGAACCCGGGCCGTTATTAGAAAGCCAATGTAGCAATCCCATTAGACCACATTGGGAGAGGTGCTGACGGCGCGATTTTGCCTAATTATGACCACCATTGTCCAAATCATCATCCCGGCGCATTTTTCCGCGTATACATCCAGCCAGATCAGCGTTTTGAGCTCCACAAGTTCCTTTCATTCGATCAGGCCGACACAAAATGATATCTGAAATATATTTAGAAAAATCAGGCTTTCCATCGCGGCTGCTCTGCTGGTTCGTTGCCGATGTAACCGCCGATAATGTACACAATAGCATGAATCTAAAGGGATATATATTGGATATCAGCTTTATTAAATCAGATACAGAATATCGCCAAAGAGCACGCGACGAGGCTTCAGCCGAGAGAATGCCACACAGAAGACCAACCGGAGTATGTGCCACCATACAGTATCGAACCCACTGTTAAGGGAAGTACTGTACCTCATTAAGATACTGTTACTCTGTTTGAGCTCGAAGAGAGGTATTGCCAAACCACTGTAACCAGAATCGGACAAACCAGACGACGAGTAGCAGACGGGGAAAACGACTCTGGAGCTTTGCGGAGTGCCACGGGGCGACAATATCGATTTCCTGTACTGATTGAGAGTGATGGCGGGGCGGGCCGCGATGCGAACCCCTGAACCGCCCGACCGCGACAAACAAGAAGCTTCGCCACCGCGACTGGCAAGACCGAAACGCATCACCAGACCACCCAGAATCTATGCTCAAGAACAAGAAATCGACAATGAACAGAGGCAGACGCGATCTCAGCAAAAGAAGAGAACTGGACCCGAATCTCAGCCTGATAGGGCAACTTCGGATGACTCTGCGACCGAGAGCGACAACCTCGATGTGAACGATTTGGTGAAAGAGATCGCCAAACTCAGGACAGAAATCAGACTACGAGACGAGTTGCACAAGGAAGAACTACAAAAAGCCAAAGCAGAGTTCGGTGCTGCCCTCGCCGGGGTCCGGCACGAGCTACAGAACCTGACAGACAGGACCCCGACATCGCAGTGCAACTCCGAAGCGTGCGCCCAGACAGGTCACGATGAAATCCTCCGAGAAATCCAATCCCTACGTGAAGAAATCAGCGCTCCCGCTTTCACAGGTTCCCCGTCCTATGCCGATGTCGCCCGCACTCCCCCGCTCAGCTACCCGAGTAATATACGGAGCCTCTCGACATCGAACACAACACCAACCACGCTCACCGACACACTCTATTGCACAATCGACACCTCCAGGATGGCAGAGAACGAAAACGAGAGGATGTCTGCGGGCTCTATCCGGGCGGCAGTCGAGACAGAGATCCGAGCGACGGCAGACCACACGCACTGGCGCTGTCGCGCCGTCACTGTGGACCCGAAGAACACGAACCGGATCAGAATAGCGTGCCGCGACGAAGCCGAGCACCAGCTGATCAAGAAAGTGGCGGAATCCCAAATCGGTGCAGGGGCACGGGTGCTTCGGGATGAGCTTTACCCTATCAAAGTTGACAGCGTTAACAAAGCCGCAGTTCTGGATGAAAAAGATGAGATCCGTGCCGGAGCAGCAGCCGCCTTCAGCGAGGAGAACGAAGCCACCGTTGCGAAAATCGCATGGCTTACCAAGAGGGAGAGCGCAAAAGCATATGGGTCAATGGTCGTCTACCTTACTAAAGGTAGTGACGCACGGAGACTGCTAGCCGACGGGTTCTTCCATGCTGGGGGAGAATCCGGCGTGACCAGCACCTTCGAGCATCGACCACGACCGATGCAATGCTATAAGTGCCAGGAGATTGGGCACAAGGCTTTTCAGTGCAAGAATGCCCAGAGATGCGCAAAGTGCGCCGTAGAAGGCCATCGCCACAGTAGCTGCGACCAGACAGTTCCGAAGTGCGTTCCATGCGGGGGCCCTTATGAATCGTTCAGCAGAAACTGTCGGAAGCTCTATCCGCCACGCAATGAATAAAACGCTCCGAGTCATGCAACTGAACGTGAGGAAACAGGGTGAAGTGTATGAAAGCCTTATGAACGACCAAGATACCGCAAACGCAGTGGCACTAGCGATCCAGGAACCCCAGGCGAGGAGGATTCAAGGCCGGCTCTTGACCACCCCGATGGGACATCATAAATGGACTAAGATGGTCCCCTCCACGTGGAGAGAAGGGAGATGGGCGGTTCGAAGTATGCTGTGGGTAAATAAAGATGTGGAAGCGGAGCAAGTACAGATCGAGTCGCCGGACCTAACAGCGGCTGTGATTCGGCTTCCTGAGCGACGGATTTTGATAGCATCGGTGTATGTGGAAGGAGGCAATGCCGCTGCGTTGAACGACACTTGCGATCACCTCAGAAAAGCGATCACCAAAGTACGGCGAGACTCAGGAACGGTGGTGGAGATCATGATCATGGGGGGACTTTAACCGCCATGATCAACTGTGGGGAGGAGACGAGGTGTCCTCGGTCAGACAAGGCGAAGCGGATTCGATCATCGACCTCATGAATGAGTTTGGACTCAGCAGCCTGCTTAAACGAGGCACCAAGACATAGCACGGCGGAGGATATTCGGGGGACTGCGAGTCGACGATCGACCTCGTTCTCGCCTCGGAAAACTTGACGGACTCGATGACCAAATGTGCGGTCCACGGAACGGGGCACGGCTCAGATCATGTTACTATTGAGACTGTTTTTGATGCGCCTTGGATAGCTCCAACGCAGACAGACAGACTGCTGCTCAAGAATGCACCGTGGAAAGAGATCAATGCCAGAATCGCGAGCACGCTAACTGCTACTCCGGTGGAAGGTTCCGTGCAGCAGAAGACCGATCGGCTGATGTACGCGGTGTCGGAAGCGGTTCGTGCGTTGACGCCGAAGGCCAAACCGTCACCGCACGCAAAGCGGTGGTAGACGGCGGACTTAACGCAACTTCGTCAAATATACACATATTGGAGAAACCACGCCCGCGCAGAGCGACGGGCAGGGCGTAAGGTGCCACAGCTGGAGGACATGGCCGCAAGTGCCGCGAAGCAATACCATGACGCGATTCGGAAACAAAAGAAGAAACACTGGAACGAGTTTCTGGCTGACAACGACAATATCTGGAAAGCTGCCAAGTATCTGAAATCAGGGGAAGACGCAGCCTTCGGAAAGGTACCGCAGCTCGTCAAAGCAGATGGAACGGTTACCACCGATCATGGGGAGCAGGCGGAAGAACTACTGACTAAATTCTTCCCACCGCTGCCGGGCAGCATTGACGACGAGGGAACCAGACCACAAAGAGCACCGGTGGAGATGCCGACCATTACCATGGAAGAGGTGGAGCGGCAGTTGCTGGCAACGAAGTCATGGAAGGCGCCAGGTGAGGATGGCCTACCGGCCATAGTGTGGAAGATGACCTGGCCCACGGTCAAACACCGGGTCCGTGATCTTTTCCAGGCGTCATTGGAAGAAGGCACGCTGCCGAAACAGTGGCGACACGCAAAGATCATTCCGCTGAGAAAACCAAACAAGGAAGGCTACACCATTGCCAAGGCATGGAGGCCGATCTCACTGCTCGCCACATTAGGCAAGATCCTGGAGTCAGTGGTGGCAGAAAGGATCTCGCACGCAGTGGAGACCCACGGCCTGCTCCTACAGGAGCAAATCTACGCAGCGTGGCGAGGACGACGGGTGCTGAGCCTGATCAGCTTTGATGTCAAGGGGGCCTACAATGGGGTCTGTAAGAAACGATTGATCCAGAGGATGAAGGCGCGAGGTATACCGGAAGTTCTGCTTCGGTGGATTGAAGCGTTCTGCTCGGGACGAACGGCGGCCATCCAGATCAATGGGCAGCTGTCGGAGGTTCAGGACCTGCCACAGCCTGGACTGCCTCAGGGCTCGCCCCTGTCTCCGATTCTCTTCCTCTTCTTCAACGCCGACCTCGTGCAGAGACCGATCGACGGCCAAGGAGGAGCACTTGCCTTCGTGGATGACTTCACCGCGTGGGTAACAGGGCCAACCGTACAGAGTAACCGGGAAGGTATCGCAACAATCATCAATGACGCGCTCGATTGGGAAAGGAGGAGCGGCGCAACCTTTGAAGCAGACAGAACAGCTATTATACATTTCGCACCCAAGGCTCGCAAAGTCGACCAAGAACCGTTCACTGTCAAGGGACAGACGGTCGAGCCTAAAAACAAGGTCAAAATCCTGGGGGTCCTGATGGACACGCGACTGAAGTACAAGGAGCATATTGCAAGGGCAGCATCTAAGGGCCTGGAGGCCGCGATGGAACTACGACGGCTCCGAGGCCTCTCCCCAGCGACAGCGCGGCAGTTGTTCTCGTTGACAGTAGCTCCAGTGGTGGACTATACCTCGAACGTCTGGATGCATGCCTTTAAGAATCAAAACATGGGACCGATCAACCGAGTGCAAAGGGTAGGAGCACAAGCAATTGTAGGAACATTCCTCACAGTTGCGACCAGCGTAGCGGAGGCCGAGGCCTACATTGCCACGGCACGACACCGATTCTGGAGACGAGCCGTGAAGATGTGGGCAGACATCCACACGCTACCAGAGACCAATCCTCTTCGCAGAAACACAGATCGGATCCGGAAGTTCAGGAGATACCACCGCTCACCACTATATCAAGTAACGGACGCGCTGAAAAACATCGACATGGAATCACTGGAAACCATCAACCCGTTTACTCTGGCACCATGGGAAGCACGCGTGCAGACTGATGATGAGCCTGTCTCAGATGGGTCAACTGTACCAGGCGGATCAATGCAGATCGCGTTCAGCAGCTCGGCGCGGAATGAGCTGGTTGGGTTTGGTGTGGCGATCGAGAAACAACCACCACGCTATCGGAAAGTGAGACTGAAGACCTTGTCCGTTACGTTGAGTGTGAGAACAGAGCAAAATCCATTTTCCGCGGAGCTGGCGGCAATGGCGCATACACTGAAGACATTCGTGGGATTGAAAGACTTTAGGATCACACTGATCACGAGCAACAAAGCGGCGGCTCTTACGTTGAAGAACCCGCGACAAGAGTCGGGTCAGGAATTTGTCTGCCAAATCTACAAGCTGATGAGAAGACTGCAGAAGCATGGAAATCAGATCAGCGTCCGGTGGATCCCCACTAGCGAAGACAACAAACTACTAGGGCTGGCGAAAGAGCAGGCGAGAGCCGCGACGAAAGAAGATGCCATCCTGCAAGGACAGGTCCCCAAAATGAAATCGACCACTCTAAAGATTGCGCGTGCCCAAGCAGTCCCCAATAGCGAGTTGCCCGAGAATGTAGGGAGACACTCCCGACGAGTGGACACAGCACTCCCAGGAAAACACACGCGACAGCTGTATGACCGATTATCGTGGAAAGAGGCGAGCGTGCTAGCCCAGCTCCGCACGGGCATGGCAAGACTCAATGGATATCTCTTTCGGATCAATGCCGCCGAGACAGATCAATGCGCATGTGGACAAGCAAGAGAAACTGTGGATCACTTTCTGTTTCGATGTCGGAAATGGACCGCACACCGGATAGAAATGCTGCAATGTACCCACACTCACCGAGGTAACATGTCCTTCTTCTTGGGAGGGAAGTCACCCGCCGACGATCAAAAGTGGAAGCCGAATTTGGAAGCAGTGCGAGCCTCAATACGCTTTGCGATCGCTACGGGCCGACTCGAGGCCACCTAGGCTTGCCGACAAATTGATAGAATACCTCTTTTACTAACCCTCAACACCTTGTGATAGACGGTAGACGCGCTTCAACTGCCGAGGATAGGATGTTGAACACTTGAAGAAGCGCCTTCAAGCAAGTCTACTAACCACTACTAACCCACAGGGACCAGCTCTGAGATTGGAAGCGGAAATGCCAAATACGGAAGGAAATACTGTATGGGCTTCAAGGAGACACGGCATATACCCAAACATGCATGTACTGGTAGATTAGTGATAGTGCCCTTTCGGCTCAGCCGCCGGGCGTTAGTGAATTGTGTGTGTGTGTGTAGTAGACTGTGTCTCCTGTGTCCATATTTCACCATGCTAAACTTCAGGGGCTGGAGCAGACTTACCCTGTCTTGGGCCAATACTTGAATAATGCGGCGAGGCGCTCGTACTTGAATGATGCAGGCTCTGGGCAAGACTGTGATTTTTCCAGTCTTTCCCGGATGAAATTTTGGATAGATTTTGAGCACTAAAATACACTTTTTGAGAGGTTTCAGGGTCTCTGGGCACGCTCAGCATACGGCCAAAGGCTGCGGTAGAAGCCGTCCTGGGACAAAATGAAAGGTGCAATACCCGAGCGGACGTCTCATAGAGTAGTTTGAAGGATCCGATACGGTGCTTGAAAGGGAATTTAGGTCGTCGAAGATCGAAGTATGGGTGCAGGGTTTCCATGAATTTTATCAAGAGGCACTCCAGCCCCGATTTGGATCTACTCGTGACATTATTCCCCTAGTACTGAGCCAGGCGGCGTTCGAAAGCCCTGGAACAAATGGATTCTAGAAAAGGTTGATTCTAAGGGCCATCGTTTGCCGAGAACTCACTGATTGCAGAGATCTCAGATTCTGGCGGCAACGGGGCCTTGATCGGGCCTCGACGAAACCATATTCTGATATGTAACAGATTCGGCTTCAAAGTCTCTTCATCGATGGAGCCGTCTCGACTCGTTTCTGGGTGCCAGCGCATGTGGCAGTCCGATCATCGTCCACTCGTTGTTGTAATAGAGATCCGGGTGACAAATCGTCTCGCAGTGGTTGTAACTCGCAACGGAATAGACAACAGTGAGGCTAACAGGGTGAATAGAGGCAGAGAGCAATATTCCGGCTTGAGGTAAAATCTTGCGGACAGAAATTTAGCGGGCACGCAAGCGATTTGCCAAAGCGAGTTATTGATAAATCACCAGTTCAACCTACACCTTACGCCAACTGCGTTGAAGGCCGTTGAACCTAGGCCAATGAACGTTGAGGCAATTAATTTGCCTGGCGGGCCTGGTCCCATCCAGTGGAACGAGCCACATCCTCGTCTGCTACCCCAAAACGCTTTACTATGCTTATTTCAATGTTGAAAAGAACGCCTCATCGCCTAGCAAAGACGTGTTCGCGCAGCACAAACGCCGAATGTCAAACACTAATTCTAGCGATATGCGCGCAATTAGTGCCTCCACAATATCGGATGCAAACTTCGACCACCACTCGCTCACTATCTAAAAAGCCATGTCTCGACGGCGTTGATGAGGGGAATGATTTGTCACGCATCGTATCATACCAACCACGGCTCCAGTTGGATCCATCCACTCCACCCGCTCTCCACTCTAAACTCTTGAAATTTCTTATTTCAACGTTGATAAACCGCCTCAACACCCACGAAATTAGGGTCGCCCGCTGCAAATTTGAAGTCAAAATCTCTGGACTCGGCAAAATGTACGCAAGTGGTCGCTGCCGAAACCTCTACTCAGAATAGCATAAAAGACGCTCTTTTCCCGTCGAAAAGAAAAGCAGGACTTTCCTCCTCACACTCCGGGCCTCGCAGCCTTGGGGTGTCTTTTGCAGGTAAGATCTGCGTTACCAAAAAGTCTTCGCGCGAAAGGCCCCGCGTAATCAAGTTTGCCTCGCAGGGGGACGCTGCGTTACCAATTGAGACCCGCAGGAGAGTGTTGCGTCAACAAGTTCTCCCTCGCAGCAATGAGCCCTGCGTTGTAACAATGTGCTCCGCAGGGACATCTGCGATATCAAGAGTCTCCGCAGGGGGACGCTGCGATACCAAGTTCTCCGCAGGAGAGTGCTGCGTCAACAAGTTCTCCCTCGCAGCAATGAGCCCTGCGATTGTAAGAGTGCGCTCCCTCACAGCCAATGAGCCCTGTGTTATATAAATGCGCTCCCTCGCAGCCAATGAGCCCTGCGTTGTATTAGTGTGCGCCCTCGCAGCCAATGAGCCCTGCGTTGTATTAGTGTGCGCCCTCGCAGCCAATGAGCCCTGCGTTGTAACAATGTGCTCCGCAGGGACATCTGCGAGATCAAGAGCCTCCGCAGGGACATCTGCGAGATCAAGAGCCTCCGCAGGGACATCTGCGAGATCACGAGCCTCCGCAGGAGACCGCTGCGTCACCAAGTTCTCCGCAGGAGACCGCTGCGTCAACAAGTTCTCCGCAGGAGAGTGCTGCGTCAACAAGTTCTCCCTCGCAGCAATGAGCCCTGCGATTGTAAGAGTGCGCTCCCTCACAGCCAATGAGCCCTGTGTTATATAAATGCGCTCCCTCGCAGCCAATGAGCCCTGCGTTGTATTAGTGTGCGCCCTCGCAGCCAATGAGCCCTGCGTTGTATTAGTGTGCGCCCTCGCAGCCAATGAGCCCTGCGTTGTAACAATGTGCTCCGCAGGGACATCTGCGAGATCAAGAGCCTCCGCAGGGACATCTGCGAGATCAAGAGCCTCCGCAGGGACATCTGCGAGATCAAGAGCCTCCGCAGGGACATCTGCGAGATCAAGAGCCTCCGCAGGGACATCTGCGAGATCAAGAGTCTCCGCAGGGACATCTGCGAGATCAAGAGCCTCCGCAGGGACATCTGCGAGATCAAGAGTCTCCGCAGGGACATCTGCGAGATCAAGAGCCTCCGCAGGGACATCTGCGAGATCAAGAGTCTCCGCAGGGGGACGCTGCGAAACCAAGGGAGACCCGCAGGGACGCCTGCGTTACGAAGAACCTCCGCAGGAGACCGCTGCGACACCAAGTTCTCCCTCACAGCCCTGAGCCCTGTGATTGTATAATCTTGAGCTTCCAGGCAGCCTTGAGCCTTGCGTTATCAAATTTGCGCTCATTAGGCGACCCGTGGCGCCGCGGTCCTCGTCCTGATCCTCTGGCCATTGCAGGCACCTCTTCGTGGTGTCAGAGACTAGTATTCGGGGTCGTCAGATCCCGAAGAAGCCAAGACCTGCTCCAAAGAATCAATAGAATCAAGAATCATCCCGCATACTTTGTGTCATGCCCTTCAGCCTGTTTGTAGAGTTCAATAGCCAGGTTCCTGGTTCGCGTGTAGTTTTAATGTAGCCTTGAATCACGCCCTGGCTTTCGACAATGGGCATTTCTTCAACGTAGTGCGAAGTAGAGCACTGAGTCATCGGACCAGTGGGGATCTCAGTGTATGATAGCTTGGTGGCCGATCCGAGCGACGCGTGCAATCCAAAGTAGCCTCCATTTGTGTGAATGCGTATCTTTGCTGGCTATCAGTGGTGGCAAAAGTTGTCGCGACGTGATGAGACGCGGGTTATCGACAGTGAGTAGGTAGTGTTGGCGTGCTGATGAAGGCGTGCTGATGGTGAAGACGTGTTGGTGGTGAGGACACGTTGGTGGTGAGGACACGTTGGTGGTGAGGACACGTTGATGGTGAGGGCTGGAGATGAGGGCCGGAGGTGAGTGACAATTGAGAGTTGGTGATGATCATGATCGATGGGAACCAGTGGTCAACATATTGATTTGCGACGCGGCGTAACTGCCGAGCGGTGAAGTGGCTGCCAACGGTGACTACCCATCGCCGTTACAGTTGGATCTTCGTTAGCTCACCAATGATGTAAAAGATGATGGACGGTGAAACATGATGCAGTTCGTCAACTGGAATCTGTCATCACACCAGATCGTAATTTAACTATCTGTGGATAGTCTTTTTTGAAAAAACTCGACCTTGGGCTTGGAGGCGCGTGACGGTGCAACCAACTTTTGTTCCCAATTCAAAAATAGGTTAAAGGGGGGGTACATTATGTACATCTATTGACGATAGATTTAATGATTGTTTCACTCGGGTCGCTCTTCTACGTGGCTTGAGCTTCGTCGCATACTCTTTGGTGATACATAGCTCTTGGATAATGTCGATCAATGATCATCGTGTGCGTAATATATATCCTAGATGCGCACGTACATCGTAGCAGTAGAATTGGAAAACCATCAGAATGTCCGCGATTCAAGCCCTTTCTTCTGGCCCTCTTTTCAAATATCATATTACATTGGCATGGCCAAATGAGAGACTCTTGTGGAGCTCAAAGGGGTAATGTAGCTGAGGACTGGTCGAGACTAACGGTGGCTATGGTATTCTAAAAAGACGGTGGATATAGTGAGGCAGATTTCGCGCGTTCAGCGAATCTGCTCCCGTGGTCTAGTCGAATATGCCACGTTTGCTTCCTTACCGTGCCGGGTTCGATTCCCGCAGGGCGCATCTGGATGACCATTCATCAGAAAGACGGTTCTCGCTCATGCATCGTGTTCACAACCCGCTTGTTTCCGATTCGTCTCGCGTGTCTTTTCTCTTGGGCCTATTATTTTCTGTCGTCACTTGACACTGACCTAGGGCAGCACCCGGCGGTATACTTCAGGCGACAAGGCCGTGCACTGACGCGTCGCAGCGTCTCGCGTCGGGCACGAGTGACAGGCCCACAATGGCAGAACATCACAGCTACGTCCGAGGTCAATAAGTACGACTTTTCTACCAGTTATCACAAACGCACCTGGCATCCTTCGAGTAATAATTGAGCAGTTGCAACCGCTGCGGCAGTCGAACGACCGTAATTTACAACGCTTCTCCGCTGGTGAATTCGTGCCGTTCGGGGATGACATCATGGGGAGAGCATTCGACTGGCCTGCAGCCACCTTTGGGAGGGAAAAATTGTCTTCATATCAGGGGTTTGGTAAAAAGGTCAGTTATCCCCAA